GATTCTCTTTTGTTCCCCCATTTCCTCCCAGCTGGACATTTTATATCGGATGATGTGATTGGAGCACAGACTTTTACATGGTGATAATAATGTGATAACATCCTCCAACTTTGGACCCTTAAACAGAAAGTGATAATGAGGGAGGAGTCAATACCCCAATGATGGTGGTCTTCAGGATCAGTCCAGTCTTCATCTTGGTTGTTCTCCCCCCATCCTCACTCTCTGACCTCTGGTGGGGCTCAGCCCCGCTGTTCTTCATGACTAAATCATGGACTAAATAAGGAAGTGCAGTACTTCTTGTGTTGGGAAGATGGCGGATGAGTGATAGAGGGGGTGGGGACCCTCGTCCTATAATCCCCTCATCACTGTCCCTCCTATAAAAGACAGTTCTGGTTGTTTCCTCACTCTCTGACTAAGGTCCATGAATAAAGAAATGACCTGGTAGGAGATCAGAGGAGCCATTTCCTAGTTCCCTTGAGGGTGGAATTGTAAGCTCCTCAGAGACCAAGCTGCCTGATGTGGGCGGAGTCCTGGTTTGGGGGAACCAATCAGCTCCTGTCTAGTAATCCTCTTTGTCTTTGTATTTTAGTCCATGGCCGGGAGATGAGGAAAACCTCCGAGGATTGTCTCACTTTGTCTCCAGACTGGAAAGTAGAAGATGAGGACATCACACAGTATAGTCCAGGAGAAAACCCGGCTCCCTCCAATGTCCATCCGGCACCACCCAGTGTAGATGGACCATCGGATTCCTCGTATCCTGAGGAACCTCAGACTGTGCGGGACCGGGCCGGCCTTCCAACAGGGAAGAGGTTCTCCTGTACTGAGTGTGGGAAGGGTTTCAGTTATAAATCCATTCTTAATGTGCATAAAAGATCTCACACGGGGGAGAAGCCGTATTCCTGTCCTGAGTGCGGGAAATGTTTTTCATGTGAAGACCAATCTTTAACACACATCAGAGATCTCACACGGGGGAGAAGCCATATTCCTGTCCTGAGTGCGGGAAATGTTTTTCAGAGAAGTCCAATCTTTACACACATCAGAGATCTCACAGGGGGGAAGAAGCCATATTCCTGTCCTGAGTGTGGGAAAATTTTTACAAGTAAGTCCGGTCTTACACACACATCAGAGATCTCACACGGGGGAGAAGCCATATTCCTGTCCTGAGTGTGGGAAATGTTTTTCACAGAAGTCCATCTTTACACACATCAGAGATCTCACGGGGGAGAAGCCATATTCCTGTCCTGAGTGCGGGAAATGTTTTACAGTGAAGTCCAGTCTTTACAGACACATCAGAGATCCTCTCACACGGGGGAGAAGCCATATTCCTGTCCTGTGTGTGGAAATGTTTTTCAACAGAAGAGCTTCTCCTGTACTGAGTGTGGGAAGGGTTTCCAGACATCAGAAATCTCACACAGGGGGGAGAAGCCATATTCCTGTCCTGAGTGCGGGAAATGTTTTTCAGAGAAGTCCGGTCTTTTACAGACATCAGAGATCACACACGGGGAAGAAGCCGTATTCCTGTCCTGAGTGTGGGAAATGTTTTTCAGTGAAGTCCAGTCTTTCCATACATCAGAGATCACACAGGGGGAGAAGCCGTATTCCTGTCCTGAGTGTGGGAAATGTTTTTCAGAGAAGTCCAGTCTTTACAGACATCAGAGATCTCACACGGGGGAGAAGCCATATTCCTGTACTGAGTGTGGGAAATGTTTTTCATGAAGTTCCATTTAACACACATCAGAGATCTCATACGGGGGAGAAGCCATATTCCTGTCCTGAGTGTGGGAAATGTTTTTCACAGCAGATCTTTTCACACATCAGAGATCTCACACAGGGGAGAAGCCATATTCCTGTCCTGAGTGTGGGAAAGGTTTTTCCAGAAGAAGTCCCGTCTTTACAAACATCAGAGATGTCACACGGGGGAAAAGCCCGTATTCCTGTCCTGAGTGTGGGAAATGTTTTTCAAGTAACTTCAATCTTTCCAAACATCAGAGATCTCACACGGGGCAGAGAAGCCACTTTTCCTGTCCTGAGTGAGGGAAATGTTCCTCGCTGAAGTCCTGTCTTCCTGTACATCAGGGGTCCCACACAACCCTGGAGGTGTATTAGTGCCTTGAGTGCGGGAAATGTCTTCTAGATGAATGTTGCTGGACATCCCAGCTCTCATGTGGGGAAGAAGCACACCCTGATATACACCTCAGATATACTCCATGGCTGATCTTCATCATGGAAGAAACAGTTGATAAGGAGATGAGAGGCCCCCAAAGACATGGATGAAGTGCAGTAAATGTCGGGGTGCAGAGTGGTCAGTAGATCCTGGAAATGAAGGACACAACTTCAGCCCTTCTTGGGTGTCGGAGTTGCGTTTCCTGATAATGATATAGCGGGTTACAGAGCTAGAAGCCGGGAGAGCCCAGATCTCGTTATCGGGGAACTTTACACAGACAACAAGAACTTCTGAAGTTGATGTCCTTCATTTCAAGGCTCTACAGAACAGTGGTGACCCCGAAGCGTCTCTCTGTCTTCAGTCCATCCTTCTCCCATCCCCCAACAGGAGGGAAGGAGAACTCCGCCCCAAACTAGGGGGGAACTTTCCTCTCATTATTTCCCTTGGCTTCTGTGTGGGTTTGGGTGGTTGGAGGAGTGCGGCACGAGAGGGAACACAGCTTGTTGTTCTATGTCTACATATGGGGTCTGGGTAGAGGGGATCCACCGGAAAATATTTCTACTCTTTGATTTTCTGCAAATCATTTCTGTTTTCACTTTGAAGGGCGATATTATGTGTGGTTTGTAAAAGGGATTGGCCCAATAGATACCACCCCACTTAGAGAATAGATGACTAATATGACCAGCATTCATTCAGCCATGTTACATGTTGGTCTTTTCATACAGGGATTTCCTATGATCATTGTCTCCATCTAGTGGCCATAATGTGGTATGGAACTGTTTTTCCTGATTTGAGGCATTTTGGAAGTAATACCTCATTATGGCCACTAGAGTGAGGGGTGGTGTGTCATACAATACCGGAGATCACCCCCCCAACATGTTATTAGTGTACTATGTGAGGGGCGGTGTCATACAAATACCGGAGATCACCCCCCCAACATATTATTAGTGTACTATGTGAGGGGCGGTGTCATACAATTACCGGAGATCACCCCCCCAACATATTATTAGTGTACTATGTGAGGGGCGGTGTCATACAAATACCGGAGATCACACCCCCCCCCCCCCAACATATTATTAGTGTACTATGTGAGGGGCGGTGTCATACAAATACCGGAGATCACCCCCCCAACATATTATTAGTGTACTATGTGAGGGGGGCGGTGTCATACAAATACCGGAGATCACACCCCCCCCCAACATATTATTAGTGTACTATGTGAGGGGCGGTGTCATACAAATACCGGAGATCACCCCCCCAACATATTATTAGTGTACTATGTGAGGGGCGGTGTCATACAAATACCGGAGATCACCCCCCCAACATATTATTAGTGTACTATGTGAGGGGGGGCGGTGTCATACAAATACCGGAGATCACACCCCCCCAACATATTATTAGTGTACTATGTGAGGGGCGGTGTCATACAAATACCGGAGATCACACCCCCCAACATATTATTAGTGTGTGCTATGTGAGGGGCGGTGTCATACAAATACCGGAGATCACCCCCCCAACATATTATTAGTGTACTATGTGAGGGGGGGGTGTCATACATATACCGGAACCCCCCCCATATTATTAGTGTACTATGTGAGATCACAAATACCGGAGATCACCCCCCCAACATATTATTAGTGTACTATGTGAGGGGCGGTGTCATACAAATACCGGAGATCACCCCCCAACACATATTATTAGTGTACTATGTGAGGGGGGCGGTGTCATATACAAATACCGGAGATCACACCCCCCCAACATATTATTAGTGTGCTATGTGGGGGGCGGTGTCATACAAATACCGGAGATCACACCCCCCCCCTATGTGAGGGGCGGTGTCATACAAATACCGGAGATCACACCCCCCCAACATATTATTAGTGTACTATGTGAGGGGCGGTGTCATACAAATACCGGAGATCACACCCCCAACATATTATTAGTGTACTATGTGAGGGGCGGTGTCATACAAATACCGGAGATCACACCCCCCCAACATATTATTAGTGTGCTATGTGAGGGGCGGTGTCATACAGCAAGCAATGAATTTGCATGATCTCCGTGTGACTACCCTAACATACATGTGCTGGTGGCAGCATCTTTGCTTTCTGTCTCAATGATCCCAGAATGTGAATTAGAATGAGGCCTTGTCTGTTCAAACACCTTTAAAGTAGCACCTTATGTGAATGTCAAACGATGGGATGAGATAAGGGCCTGGACTAATGATTGATTGGATAATGCTGGTTTACACTCCACCCACTTTTTGGGAAGGTTTTTCAAACCATGAGAAGAGTGAGAGAAAAGGATTTAAAAATAAAATAATGGCATGGAGTCCCCCCCCCCCCCCCCTCGCAAATCCACAACAGACCCTTATCTGAGCATGCAGATACCGCATGCCTTCAAAGATTTATTTCCTTTGTTGGATTGCCTGCTTGGCTCACACTAGATGTGATTTAAATTTTGCTTTTTTTTCACCGTATTTTCTGTAGATTTACCAATGAGTTATTGCGATTTCTATAGTAGTCTATATGTGAAATCGCTACAAAATGCTGAAAAAGTTAGACAAGAACTACTTTTGAAATTGTGCTGCAGCAAATCGCTTACATTAAGACACTCACATCCACATTCATTAGATCCGATATCCGGTACAATTTCAATTCTCAAATCGCACCTGAAATTGTGCACTCTGGATGTGACTTGGCATTCGATTTGCATGCCCTGCGACTTGCAAATTGTATGCAAAATTGCACCCAATGTGACTGGGGGCTAACTCCACAGTCACATCAAAGCGGATTTTGAAGTGGTGCGACTTACACTACGGTCACATCATGGGACTTACAGTGAAGTCACATGATTTCAAAGTCGGGGGACATGCTGATTTAAAAAGTGCGATCTGCAACACATCTGACACAGATCTCTCTGCAAATCACATGAAAAGTAGTGTATTCATTATTTAGAAATTGTTGCAGCTCCAACCAAGTTTGAACCACACCAATATGAACGCTCTAATAGCAGTAACATTGAGTGCGATTTGGCATGTGATTGCATGACATGAGGCTTGCAAATTGTATGTCAAGTTGCACCCTCTTGTCTGCTATTAGAGCGGTCACATGGGTGCGTTTCCGACACTGATTTCTATAGTAGTACATGTACTACTTTTGTGACGATTTGCATAGAGATCTGTCAGAAGTTTTTCAAATCGCAAGGAAATCGGCATCTTCACTGTACGTCGCATCATCAATTCAATTTACCAGTGTTGTGGTCCATCAATTGTTAGTTAATCATTTATTTTATTTTTTAAGTTATTTGCATAATTTCCCCCTTTTTTTCCTTCCTCCTTTGGATCATAATCCATAAACTCTTCCATCTAGTGCAAGGTGGACGCTGTGCCCCTCCATCCCTCCTTGTGTTGTGTGATGGAGGTGTTGGTTCCTGGGCTCTCCGTCCCGCAAGTGACGACGCAGTGAGCAGTAGACTGTGGCTGTGTGCAGCCGCCCTCCGTCTGTTCGGATTTACATATGGGCGGTTTCAGAGGCTTCTCGGTTGCACCTCCTGTGATATGCCCTCCAGTGACAAGTAAAGATGGCGGCTGGAATGCATTGAGCAGGCACCCATTAGTGGTTACATACCGGCGTGCATTCCACCGCCATCTGAGCAGCCTCTGCTGTTGATTGATTGTTTGAAGTTCCTCTCTCCACTGCCGTTGTTACAATTCTGACACATCGAACACAATACTTCCTCATAATATTCCTCTAAACCCATCTGATCACTTGGAAAGAGTTCTAAAGAGTTGCTGAAGCATTTTAAGAGCTCTAATAACATGGATTTAATGCAAATCACTCAGCAAAAGATCGATATGCTCTGATCACAATGTACAGGTAAAGCTGAATCATGGATTTATTACTACACCGTGTTCCAAATTATTCTGCAAATTCTATTTAAGTGTCACAAAGATGAAATATTTTTTTTTTTCAGTGTAAAACTCATGGATGGCATTGTGTGTCAGGGCTCTTTTGATCACTGAAAACAATCTGGGACACCTGTGATAATTAGATTGGCCGGTGAGCCCAATTTAAGGAAAAACTACTAAAGGACGGCGTTCCACATTATTAAGCAGAGCACCATTTTCAAGCAATATGGGGAAGAAAAAGGATCTCTCTGCTGCCGAAAAGAGTGAAATAGTTCAATGCCTTGGACGAGGTATAAAAAACATTCGATATTTCACGAAAATCTAAGCGTGATCATCGCACTATGAAGAGATTTGTGGCTGATTCAGAGCACAGACGGGTTGGTGCAGATAAAGGCACATTGAGGAAGATTTCTGCCAGATCCATGCATCGGATCAAGAGAGCAGCTGCTAAAATCCCATTACATAGCAGCAAACAGATATTTGAAGCTGCTGGTGCCTCTGGAGTCCCACGGAAATCAAGGTGTAGAGTCCTCCAGAGTCCTGCAACTGTGCATAAACCTTCTATTCGGACCCCCCTAACCAATGCTCACAAGCAGGAACGGCTGCATTGGGCAGAAAAATACATGAAGACTCATTTTCAAACAGTCCTGTTCACTGATGAGTGCCGTGCAACCCTGGATGGTCCAGATGGATGGAGTAGTGGATGGATGGTTGGTGGACGGCCACCCTGTTCCAACAAGGCTGTGACGTCAGCAAGGTGGTGGTGGAGTCATTTTGGGCCGGAATCATGGGAACAGAGCTGGTCGGCCCCTTTAGGGTCCCCGAAGGTGTAAAGATGACCTCTGCAAAGTATGTGGAGTTTATGACTGACCACTTTCTTCCCTGGTACAGAAGGAAGAACTCTGCTTTCTGTAATAAAATCATCTTCATGCATGACAATGCACCACCATCATGCTGCAATGAATACCTCTGCATCAAT